TGGCTCATGCCTGTAATCCCAGCATTTTGGGAGGCTGAGGTGGGCAGATCATTTGAAACCAATTTGGGTAACATAGCGAGACCCCATCTCACATACTGAGACCCTTGCAAAAAACTTAAAATATTATGCGTGCCTGTAATCCCACCTACTTGGAGGCTAAGGTAGGAGGATCTCTTGAGCCCGGGAGATCGAGGCTGCAGTGAGCCATGATTACACTATCGCACTCCAGCAACAGAGCAAGACCCTCTCTCTCTCTCTCTCTCTCTCTCTCTCTGTGTGTGTGTGTGTGTATGTGTATGTGTGTGTCCCACGCTATGGGGAAAGTAGTTCAACAGCTATTTATTGAGCACCTGGTATATACTGGACATTGTGCCAGGCATGGGGATAGAAAGATGGCTGAGATGGGATCTTGCCTTCAAGAAACTTTTGGTCTAGTGAGAGGGAAAATTTCAGCAAAATATTTACCTGCAGTGATAAAATAAAGCGTACACATGATGAGGCTTCCTGGGAATTGTGTTGCAGTAAGTCCTCAGGGTGACTTGGCCAGGGGCATAGAGATGTGGCTGGGCAGGGTGTGGGCAGGGAGAGGAGGCACCACATAGGCAGGAAGGAGCCAAGCCTTGCTGAGGAGCCTCTGGCATCTTAGAGGTCATTGGAGAGGGCAGACCTGTCATGATGTTGGCACTGGACCCCAGGGAAGGAGCTAGCTTACCAGTGGTACCCATTCTTAGAACATTCAGTGTGATGACTGGCCCTCTGTGGAGTCTCGGGGTCCCAGAGCTCTGCCCCCCTCACTCCCCATCCCCAGCAACTTGGGAGCTCCCGGCTCAGCGGCTGTGCCTTCTGGTGGCGCCTGTGCTGCTCAGCTCCACTCTGGTGTCATTCCTCCACCAACACCTAGCTTGTGTTTTGTTTTTGTTTGCGATGGGGTTTCTCCATGTTGCCCGGGCTAGTCTCAAATTCCTGGGCCCAAGTGATCCACCCAGCACAGCCTTCCAAGTAGCTGGGGTTATAGGCGGGAGCCTCCATGTCTGGCTTAGCCATCATGTGTTTTGTAGCTGAAATATACCAAGCTGGTTCACATCTTGTCTCTCTTAATTCAGATAACTGTCAAAGTAGATACTTTAAAATCCTCCTTTTAGGCTGGATGCTGTGGCTCACACCTGTAATCCCAGCACTTTGGGAGGCTGGTTAGGAGTTTTATTCTACAAATGGAGGCTCAGACCAGGGAAGCCGTTTTTTGCCAGAGGGATCGAACTGAAGGGGTCTGCTCTCCTGTCCTTTCCCTCAGAGGCTGAGAATGCGCTCATCTAAACTCTGGAGGCTGCCCTTGTCGGGGGCCAAAAAAATGTTAAAGGTCGTGTGTACACACCAGGAGTCCAAACAGCTACTCTGACTTCAGCGTGACTGTTCGTGGCAAAAGCTACTTTGGCAGGAGTTTGAATGTTCAAGAAAAAGAAATCACAGGGGGCTCTTAAATAGGCTCCTTCCGACGTTGGGCATGGAGTGAATGCCATCAGGCGTTGAGTCAACACTTTGGGCCTGGCAAGGGCGAAGGGACCTGCCTCATTCTGACCGGTGGCCGTGGATGAAAGGCAGAAGGACAAGGTAGGGCTGGCCGTGCATGGCCCCGGAGGGGGCCCTTTGGAGCTGGAGGGAAGGCCCCGCCAGCAATCACCAAAGAAGCCTTCTGACACACATCCAATTCTCCCTCCTCCTCCCGTCCTAATCCTGCGCCACCACACAGGAAGCTGGCATCAGGGCTAGCAGGCTCCCCCGCCATCTGCGTTCCTTCCTTGGGTCTCCGCACCCTCGTGCTTGCCCCTCTGCCATAGACTACCCTCACTTTGGCCCTGAACCACCAGAGCATGGCCAGTCCTTGCAGCTTTGTGGCCAGAGCTCTGAGCCTCAGTCTCTGACACACACGGGGGAGGCCACCTGGTCAGTACTGCGGTGAACAAGTCCACACAGAGCACAAATGAGAGGAGAGAATCCTGTTCAGGTGCTTGAGAGTTGGACATGACTTTTAAAACTAAAATTGCCTTCTCTACAGCACTGCTTTGTCCTCGAGCTGACCGGTTCACATACATTAGTGAGCCCACAGGCCGAGATCTTTGAGCGTGTTGTGACCTGTACACTAGTACTACCCTTTAAGCCGCCATTGCTGACCCGGCGGCTCCATCAGGGATTCATCCATACATCCCGGTGTAGGGGCCCCAGAGGTGGCTGC